ACAGGGTGGCAAAGAGGAGGGCGGCGGCCGCTTCGGAGGGGTGACGGGCTGGGGCTCGAGTGCGAAGCACCGGTAGCGCGGTTCCCTGCGCGTCCTCGCGTCTTATTACAGCTCATGGCGGAGGGCGAGGAGAAGGGGGGAGAGGGCGGCCTCAGTGAGCCGCTTCCCCCTTCTCATGGGCCCCTGCAACACCTCTCCCAGGGGGTCCCTGGGGAGCAGCCCCAGGACAGGCCCAGCCTGCAGCAGCCACAGCTCAGCCTGCCTCACCAAGAGGACAAGCAGGAGGAGGAGGAGGAGGAAGAGGAGTCACAGCGCACAGAGGTTCAACTCAGTGGCCCCCAGCTGTTTTGGGAGGGGTGTGCTTGTGAGCCCTTTCCCCCCTCGTCACTCAGTGTAGTTGTGCGGGGAAAAAGGGAGAGTCAGTGGGGGTGCCAGGTTGTGATTTCTCATTTCCCCATAGAGGGGAAAGGCCAGTTTAGTCTGTTTCCCCTCACCTCTAATTTCTGCCTGGTTTTTAGGATCCCTTCCATCCCCATGGTGTCCAGGATAATTCTGGATTGCCCCTCTCTCTCCTTGCTATATAAAGACTAAGGATAAGCTGGCGTATGGGTGGCCAAATTAAACCTCTTTCCTGTTTATATGCCCAGCCCTGAGATTCAATAAGCCCCTTTACCCAAGTGAATTTTTTCTCCCTGATCTGCTGAGCTCTAAAGCATCCACTGCCACAGCATTATCACCTCCTATTTTCCACCTAGTGGCAATGCATCTGTCTGTAGTCTCCGTTGCTATAACATGTAGGTGCTATAATTTAGATGATTACCATTTGAAACATTATTTATCTTGGTCCCTAGATTAGCAATTGTTGTGTGACTTCTCCAAGCTCATAGGAATTTCACAAGCCATTGGCTTATTTTCTCATTAAAACTACGCAGTGGTTCATTAGTGCCATCTGTCAAGTACCCTCTCTGGCAAAGATTGTTCTCTGCAAGAGTAGCGCTAGCTGCTCATGCTGCACAAATTTAAAGGGCCTCCATTAATGTGCATATTGGGGTACAACACTGGGGTTATGTTAGTGTTGATTTGCTGAGATGTTAAGATCCATAATCAATGTGAGTTTCATGGCTCAACATCTGTGGAAGCAGATCCTGTTTAGACCTATGCATTTAATCCATAAGGTTAAAAAAAAATCCCAACAAAAATCTGTTGAACCTTTTTAAATGTATAGAGCTAGTACATGACATGTTTCTGTTTATCTGTTTTGAGGGCTGTACTCATCATTTTTCCTAATGTGTAGTGCCTTAGTCAGGTGACAGAGCACTGAAAGCAGCGTTTGATTGAGGACTTTCATTAAACTCTGGTCCCGGTTGCATCCCAAGCAGCCCCCAGATTCTACCAAGTGTGGAATTTCATTTCATAAATCTCCCCTTAATTCATTCCTCTCCCTGCCCCTCCTTTCTGGTATTTATAGGGTCGGTTTGATGGAGTGTTGGATGAAGACACTGTGGCTGAGGGTCTCCACAAGCTGGGGCGCTCGGCCCCTGGTATTGAATACATTTATCTTAATCTGTCGCTTTCAGTAAGTATAAGCAAAGAACATCATTGCGAAGTGCTTCTCTGCTCAAAGGTTTCCTCTTTTTAACAGCAAATAGTTGGTCTAGTGAAAAAATTTCAAGAGGCAGATTTTTGTCTCTACCTGTCAATGCTGTTTCACGTACATGGGACTTGTGACAAGACTCCTGCTTGCAAGGCTTCTGCTGACAACCGCCACATCGGTATCATTTTTTTTCACTTAGTAGCAACAGCAGTAAGTTTTTTCCTTGCCCAGTCTTCGGGTGTGAAAATGTATCTTCCTGCTTCAGCCAGCAGGAGAAAAAAATAGAGGAACATGCTAAACACCTGAGAATGCTGCATTCATTGTCTCTTCAGAAAGTTAAAGTGGTTGTGTCATTTTAAGGATTACTTGCTGCCGCTCCTTTTTTTATGCAGCCTTGTTTTTCTGGCAGTTTTGCTAGCTACAGCTATCTCTCCTGGTTGTGTTTTAAAGTCTTCTTTTGACATTTTCTCTGTTCATGGCTGGTCTGCAGGTCTAACATCACTTTCTGTATATGTCATGCTGTTCTGACACATCAAGCTGGAGAGACCTTGGGGCACCTCTTCAATGTCTCCTGCTACTGTGTATTTCTTGGGAGAGCAGCTGAGGTTATACAGCTAGTTATTAAAGTCTCTTCACTGTGTTTTTGCAGGGTCGTGAGTTAAGTGACATTAACATTCTCTCCAGATACGTTCACCTACAGAAGCTGGAACTTTCATATAATAAAATTAATGGTATGTAGTAAATACACTAGTAAATTCTTGGGTTGTGAAACCATTTAAGATGAGAAATGCACTGTACCATGTAGCTTTAATATCACAAAGCCTGGTCTACATTTTAATGGTGTAACTACTCCAGCTCTACAGAATGAGGCAATGGCTAGATCTTCTTGAGAATGATGTATAGACCATTCAGACAGCTGCACCAGCATATGCTTATCAGTGGGAACATGGGGATTATTGTCCAGTTTATTATACAAAGATAAAATGCAAGCAAGCATGTCAGTACAAGATTAAGGTTGAGATTTTACATGTGCAGATGTCATAATATTTAAAGTTATGTCTGGTGCAGTTTTCCCAGCCTTGGGCTTTCCTTTGTCAAGGTTTCCCATCGGTCACAAAATGGAAAAAATTGTATCCTGGATTTAGAAGGTAACAAATGGAGACTGGGGTAAAGTCCATCATCTTCTACTCCTTCCCTCTCCCTTGTACTCCCCAACTCATTTTTTAATTTAACAGCAAAAGGAATAAGCTGTGATAGCAGCCTGTTGCATTATTTCTTTCAAGTTCATTTCACTTGAGGTGCTGGAGTCCAATAATAGCAGCACTTTTGTAAGGCAGCACTTCTCCGTCCTCATTTTATTAACAGTTTGTCTGTGAGAGCTAGGTCTGAACAGGGACTTTTCCATAGCAACTAGTCATTTAGTCCTCAGTAGTGGCCTAAATACTTTTCTCCACTGATTAATAACTTAGGACAGTGGTAGTCTCTCTGTCATTCTAGAGGTAGCTAGAATATAAAACTATATTCTGGCTTACAGACAAATCAGTTGACATAATGGAAATTTAATGTAGAACTTGAATGTTTATTCTTTGTGTTAGAAACCATCTTTTTTTTTTTTTTCTAGTAGAATCATAGAATCGTTCAGGTTGGAAAAGACCTTTAAGATCATCAAGTCCAACCAGTAATATACAAAGTGATTCTTGGTTGCTATTGGACGTAATTATCACATTTTGACATGATGATCTCTGCATTTACCTATGCATTCATGTACAGGATTTGACATTTTGTTTTGTTACTAGATCTTTCTTGTGTCAGTCACATGCCTTACTTACTGGAACTGAATGCTTCCAACAATGAATTGACTACATATTTTGCTTTTAAACCACCTAAAAATCTCAAGGTAAGTTGCAAAAAATACATTTTATAGTTTTAAATTCAAAATGGTTTTCATTTTCTAAATCTAATTTAGACATTGTATTTCAAAATATGCAAAAGTGAATTTTTATGCCTTCCTCCTTTCTTACCTCATTTGACATTTTAATACCTTTTCCGAGTGTGTGGATATTTTACACCGCACGTTTCAGTCTTTTATTTTCTTTCACATGCTGAACCCTGGCATGCTATGGGAAGGTGTATTGTACAACTAACTGTTCTAGCCAGAGGTAAATATAGCCAGAATTTTTTCCTTGCTTGTCAAATTCATCAGACATTTAGTGGGATCCATTCCTGCCTTTCAAATTGACTGGTGCCAGTCATTACCGTGAAACACGTACTTAGAAGTGTAGCTGTGTGCTAGTTTTCTCTTTGCTCTTGTTTTCTTGTTGCCCACTTTGGGTTATAAAAAGCAAGAGGTTGTTTTGAAATACCACCTTTATGTGTTTCTCTGCCTTCTCTGTTGTTTTTTTTTAATATGTATGCATAATTACGGGACCATTAATGATAATGTTGTTGGAGGAAAGTATAGTTTTGGAAATTCCCAAAATGTGAATTCTGTGTGTCATAAAAAAGACCCTTTCTGTTTATGTCCCAATATTAATATTAATCATCATCTTATTTCTTCCACACCCTTGATCGCAAGTTTAATGTAACAGCCGTTTAGTTTCACAAGACAGCTATAAGTGCTGAAGAAAAAAAAGTAACTTTCTGCCTCCTTTTTTCTTTAGGAAGTAGATTTTTCATGCAATAAAATACCTCAAATGCAAGATTTGTCAGCATACCAGTCACTTACCAAACTCTTGCTGGATTGTATCCTTATGGCAATTTGAATGGGAGAAGAGGTACTTGTTTGTTTTCTGAAATAGATACCTGTTTTCTTTGTATTTTTCCTTTATGTCAGTTTTGTCTTTAGAAGCAAGATTAAACACTGTCATTCTGGTGGTGAAACCGATCTTAGTTTACTTAAGCATGCCTGATGTTAAAGGTGTTTGTGTATACATGTAAGGTATTAGCCTGCTAGAGGAGCACAAAGCAACCTCCACTTTGCATCATGTAAAACTGAAAAAGTGACATGTCACGCTGTCTTTGCATGGCAGAGGTAATAAATAATCCCAGTACTTTTATATAAGAAAGGTTAATAGGAAATCGGCTTGGAACACTAAGCTCCCTTAAATGAAAAAGGTGCATGTTGTTTAATCTTAGACATAGCTAATTACGCAGGGACTGTAGAGGCTCTGTGGAGGATAAGGCCGTTTAATGACAGTGAAGTGAGAGAAAACTTCCTGGAGTATGCTGAGGGAAGTACACAGAGCGAAGGTGTTCTGCTACACACCTTCCATGCTTTCACTGTGGTACCCAGTTTGTGGGATTAGAAACACTGTTCTGCCAGAAATCAGATAAACATGAACCTGCAGATTAAGTTTCTTCATTGCTTACTTCTCCAAGGCTGTCCATAGTACTCTTAGTCTCCCTAAAGATTCTCCTATGCTTTTCTGAGAGATCATCTGGAGTTTCATGTTGACGTGCTGCCTTACTTACAATTGCTTCCCGAGGGCTCGTGAACCTTTCCTTTTTGCCTCATAAATTGCATCTTGATTTTCTGCTCTCTGAAAAGGAGAAGACAGCAGGCTGTTGCAGTTTTTTCTCTGTCTCTTGTCCTCGAAGTAGCCCATTACCAAACGATATTAATACAATGCCTTTTTCATGTAGGAGCAGATAAAGCATTTGCAGGGCACCCAGGTTATATTATTCACACGTTTTACAACGTGTGCAGGTGACACGATTCTTGTCAGAAAATGGCATTGAGACACTATCCCTTTGCAATTCTAATTTTCCATCGCAGAGCAAAAACCATATGGCAAAATGAAAAGGAAAAAAAGATCAGAGATTTGTATTGTGGATCTGAATCAGTATTTTTTCATTTGGTTTCAATGCAGCAGCATGCTGTCTTCAATTTCTTCATTTGTCAGTGAAAATGCCATTAAAATGGGGAGAAAAACTGTTTCATGCATACAGTTGCAATGGGACCCTCTGAAATAGAAGAAAATGAGTGCAGAATTTAGAATAGCAAAGTGGCACTGTTCCTAACCCATGTCAAGCACTCCTCACCAAAGACATGGCAGACAAAACAAGCTGTTCTTTGTAATCGTACATGAAAATACAATACTAAGTATCATGCAGTAGCAGAAATGTTTGTCATGCATTTCTTGTTGACAGTAACTAAGCATTTCTTACCATATTTAACTGAATTATGATGCAGATGGTAAGGTCCTTGTAACTTTTTTCTGACAGGTGCACACACAAGCACACCTGACAGGTTTATAAGTGAGTTTTCAAGGAGGAAACTGCCCAAACCAGAAAGGGAGACAGCTTGAGCAATAATATCTGACAAAGCACTATAGGGAGTCGTTAAAAGACTAAAACTGGATTGGTTTTAGTGCTGAGCATTTTGCTGCCTCATATTGATGCTTATGGCTTAAATGGCTTAAACAATATTTTTTCCTCACCAAAACTTTTCTTCCTCAGCTGAAAGAGAAGCGGTCCCATTTTGTATGTGAATCAATTAATATCAGTAAAGTATCAGTGCCTGTGGAAGGTTTTGGTTTCTTTTCTAAAATGGCAGACACAGCCTAGTGTGAGGTCCTACAAAAAGATAAATCTGTGCTCACTAGCTCATTTCTCCTCCTCTTCTTCTCCATCTAGGCCTGTGAGTGTAGAACTTAGGTAGCATACAATTAAGTCCCTGTGTAGGAATGCAGTTAGGAAAAAACAGTGTTAGGTCACAGTTATTAAAGAGTATTCTATTATCCCTGGCTAAGCTTACATTGTGTTTGGTTACAATATCATTCAGACTGAGAGAAAAAAATCCTGATAATTTGTCCACTGCCTGGTGAGACTAGAAATGTGAATGAAAACTCACTTGCCCCTCTTTGCAGGCAGAGTTCATTCTCTCAAGTCAATGAAAAATATTTTCTTCTGTGATTGCCTGAAGGCATTTCTCCGTGTCCTGCGTGTTCTGGCCATTTTTTTCAGTTACATTCCTTGGGTTTTTATGTAATTCGTTCCAGCTTGGACACTCAATACAAGTGCAATTCTTCTTGCCTAACTTCAGTCACCAAAGAATAAGATGCCTGGATCAGACTTAGCTGATTTTGGTACAGTGGAGAGATACAGAGTCAGGTACCTCTGCAGTGCATCCCATTGTAAGACAGCAGTCTGAGATAGCTTGTTGTCAAAGGAAACATGCTTTGTTTAAGGAATCTGGGTAGTTATGTTAATGCTGAAGTTTGCTGAGAGGAATCCTAACTATTTTTACTGCCGGTTTTGAGTTCAACGTTAGTTTAAAACACACTTTCCCCTTTCAGTACAGATGGCCAGTATAGAACAGGTATACTCTAGAGTGAAATAGCCCCATATAGTACTATCATCTGTTATTATTTGGATAATTTGTGTATAATGCTTGGAGGTCAAGGTCAGTTTGGAGCCATGTTAAGTACTCCGTAGGCGTAAAAAGGTCGTGCCTTCCTCTGAAGACTCAGCCATATGCCTGTATTCTACAGCTGACCTAATATGAGTGGTGCCCAGCTAAAGGCATGAAAGACCCCTATGTTTTAGCCTGTGCTTACACATATGATGAGAAGACCAGAGATTTACAGCATAGTTTTGCAAGATGGTGGCAAAGGAGTTCCTTCCGCACACTCCTGTTCACTCATTTCCACTACTTTCTTGATTTGCCATCAGTCCAGTTATGCCAGCTTGAAGGGCTGCATTGTAAACCAGGTCACAGCAACTATCTGAGTTAAAAGCTCCTCCAAAAAGGAGGGGAGGATATTTCTAGCTGGATCAGCGTCGCTTATCCTGCAGCCCTGCAAAAAGCTGTGTCTGTCAAATGAGGACAGTAGGAAGCTTCGGAAAGGAGTGGGTGTGAGCAGCTGGGGTTTTAAACTACTTAGCATGAACCATTTGATGTCCAGCTCTCCTTACCATAAAATTCATCTCCATTGGCTAATTTAGCTACTAATTATTGCTAAGGTTTTGTGTTCAGTTATTTTCCTTAAATGCAAAAACCTCTGTATAGTTAATAACATAGAGGAGATAAGAGGACTGGAGAAGTGTCACAGTCTGACTCATCTTAGTTTGTCACACAACAGACTCACTGCAATCAGTGGCCTTAAGAATTTACCTATCAGAATACTCAATCTGGTAAGAAAGAAGTAATTCTAGTTGTTTTCCTGTCTGTCTTTTATCAATATATTAATGCCTTAATAAATGTGAAGGTAATTACATGACAAATTTTCAGAGATACATGTAATACTGGACATATTTTTTTATTAAAACAGGATCATAGAATGATATAGGTTAGAAGGGAGCTGTGAAGGTCATCTGATTCAGCTTCATGCTCCAAGTAGAGCCATCTTCAGCAGAGGTTTCTCAAGGCCTTGTCCATCTGGGTCTTGAAATTCTCCAAAGATACTTTTGCATTCACTCTTGGGTAGGTTCTGTTGTTGCTTAGGTGATGTGTAAGAAGTTACTTACTGTGCAAGTCCCACAATACAAACCATGAAGATTTTTTTAAAAAGTACATTTCCTCATAAAGTTGTGTTCATGATAGCAGTGAGCTAGGACAGGAGAGGGAAAAGCAAGGACTCAGAAGGCTGCATTCATTTTAGAAAACAAGTCAAGTTTAGTATGCAATCTGATATATTGTTAAAGGATCTTTGTTTAATTTTTGAAGGATCTTGTGATGAGATTGGAAGCTTTTCATCACAGTATCTAGGGTATATTTGTTTAAATACAACATTTTAGGTTTATTTCTAGATGCTTTAGTAGGATTTATCTTATCTGGCTTCAAATTTCTGCAATGTAGACAACTACATGTGAGCTAGTTGTTCTCTGCTGCCTCAAAATTCAGTGGAGAGAAATGGACACTTCAAATACTTCATTATTCCAATTCAGCTGCTGACATCTACATTAACACAAGATGCATCAGGCCTTGGAAGTGCCTCTTTTTCTCTGTTGGTTATGAAGACAGCCAAGGATAACTAGCCCAAATATAGACCTCTATCTGTCAGTGCCTACTCTTGTTTGCATGCATCTTGCTCTTTTACAGGTCTTGGGAAGGCATTTATCTCGGTGTTCTTCAGCTCCATGTTTGTAAAATGTCCTTAATAATACCAACGCTTTCTTCTAAATCATCTCGAGATACTTAACAGGAAGAGCCATCAATATAGAGGTTGTGCAGAAACACAAGCAAAAACTATTTTTAATGCAATTCAGCTGGTATAAAATACAACAGGCTACTTCTTAATAGGTTTTACTAATAATAATTTAAAAAATATTTAATGGGATTTTTAAAATGAGTACCAAAAAACTATACATAGAAATATGGTCATATTTGCTACATTAGTTTTAAGCACCTACATAAATATTTTAGGTAAAGCGAATGAATCGCTTATCAAGAATAGAAGTATTCTTTTCCAATCCTTTTAAAATTTTAAAGATTTTTCTTCTGTTCTGAAGTAATTGATGTAGAAAAGAGCAACTAAGGGCTGTACCCATCAAGGCCTGGTTGGCCCTTGTACTTATTACTGCTTCGATATTCAGGAAAGGTATTCACATTTAAAAGTGGACAGTAGTGTGCTATGAATAATATATTCAAACAGTCTTTAGTAACGTATTTTTAATATACTTATATTTCAGATATATAATGCCTTCGGTAGCTTCCAGTTATGCCTGTAGTGGCAATAAAACTGAATTTTGTCTCATTTTTAGCGATAAGATTAACTCAGATTGGCAAAATCATGTCTAAAAGTTCTGAAATGAACTATAGGAGTATGACAATCTAAGCTGACAGGAAGATCTTTTCTCTAAATGCTTTCTTCAGGGAGAACTACAGTAAGTCGCTCAACCATTGTGTGCACTGATGTCCTCATCTGTTAAAAGGCCTAATAATAATTCCGTTAGTAATGGTTATGTGCTCTGTAAAATGTTTTGGAAGTTGTGTTAACAGCTAAGCCTTATTAATATGAACATGTTCTCCAGTTTTGGTTCTTACATGCTGATATGATTATTTATACAACTGCTTGTCTTTTTAATTAGCAAAGTAGATAGTCATGTGGAAATTATGTAAATGGACAGATTTTAGCATAGCATTTTCTTTTACTAATTAGAATAAAATGCAGTTCTTTTTTTATGGGAGCAGTCATGCCCTCTCTTCCCATTGGTTCAGCTTTCTTTTCCATTTTCCCTTGAGCTTTTTAGGTTGAAAGACTAGTAAGGTCTGAAGTTTGGAAGAAAGGCTTCAAAAACTGTAAATACTGCCTAGCTATACCAAAAAGCCTATATATTCTGCTTACGTTTGCAAAAAATAAGAAGTGCAGTTCTAATGAACTGGGCTCCTAGGAATTTTCTGCTTTGCAAAAAAGGATCTCTACACAAATCCCTTTTGTTCACAGAATTTTATGTGCACCTCTTGCATAGCATTTTGCAACTAGAACTCTGAGCTGTATCCTATTAAACAGAGGTCTAACGAAGAACAGGAAGAGAAGACGGAGCCTCCATGCTATTAATAACCTAATTAAACATTTAAAAGTCAGGAAAAATGTCAAGGACAGACAACTGGATTAACATTAGAGTCAGTTGGCCTATTTATTTCAATAGTCCCTAAATATTTATTAATAGAATATGAGGCTTTTAAGCTTTCAGCACAAGGTGATGCTGATGGAAAAAGATAACTTGCAAGGTTATACAGAAAGAACCATGTTGAGAGGCCATCTGGGTACGTGTGGCCACTGGGACAAAGATGAGTACAGAACCTAGCATGTTATACCTATTTAGAGTTCGCAGCAGAAACAAGTATATGATTTGTGAGGCCCCGAGAAATGAAGCCATCTGGTGTCCAGTGATAAATGTAGGTCTTCTATCTTGTACCTTGTTTGGCAGGAATGTAAAATGATGATAGTTGGTTATGAGTTCTCAAAAGCTTGGGTCATTTCTTGTGTTACAGTCTAGATGAACTTACAGCAAGGTGGGTTTGGTTTTGGTTTTTTTTTTTAACATTTCTATGCATGCTGTCACTGACAGTAAATAAAGTCTGCCTTCACTTAGCATGCATTAAGATGAACTTGTGTATCCTAGAGATATTTTTATAGACTGCCTGTAGTCCAAATAAGACAGTACTGTACTGTTCTACCATATTATTTTCATTATTTATTCTGTAATCATAAGTGTAAATATAACCATGATTACAGAGGGAAATTCTATGTATTTATGTATATATATTCTATAACTTTATGTGCATATCTATTTTGTAAATTTTGAGTTGGATAGTAACAAGAGTATCCTTTAGCCAGTATCAGCTTTAAAAGAATGCTGGAGCTCTTTTTATTGCTGTTGTCTCTCGCTGCTATTCAAGGTGAGTTGAAGATACGTTAATCAGAAGATAGTTGATTCTTTTTTCCTTGAGCAGCATGGAAAGCTGTAATATGTCATCTCAAGAGGAAGATGGGGCTAATGCAGAGAAGGCCTATTTGTAATAGGATTCTCAAAAATAAAGTGAACTCTGTTCTTCCTCAGGAATGTTGTTTTCCATCTCTAGAATTTTATCAACAGTTTATATGCTTTCATTTCTTCTTAGAGCTGTAACAAGATTGAGAAGATAACTGGGTTGGACAGCTTGAAAACTCTACAGAAGCTGGACCTATCTAGCAATAAAATAACTAGTCTAGAAGGCTTGGAGGAACATGATCTACTAGAGATGATCAACCTAGAGGATAACCAGGTAGCATACTTAATATTGATCTCAGCTTTTTCTAAGAATGCATTTTTTTTTTTTTTCCTAAAATTCAATCCCTTTAAGGCTTAATCAAAAAATCTTACAACACTGCAAGAAATTAACATTAGAAAAGATGACATTTTTTTCCTTTGGTATTTCACTCCAATGCTGTTTCACATGTTGATTGATAGTGTACTTCTCAGGCCTTATTTAATATCTCTAGATGGGTTTATCTTTATGTAGGTATCACTTCTGTAGTATTTAGTGCTCACGTACATAAAGAACTAACGGTGCTCCCTTGAGTGGGTAAGATAGGGATGAGTATGCAGCTTTTTCAGCTTGATTATTCTTAAGGATCTTTACTTACATCACAGCTTTTCTACTGCCAGGCCTCAGGAGGGTTTGCTAATATCTCTCAGCCCAATTTTATGACCGCGGATTGTTCTGAGCTCTCAGCTGGAAAATTCCTGTAAGGCAGAACTGCATGTACTCTAAGTGGCTTTTGTTATGCAGCAGAATTTTCACTGGAAGTACAATGATACAATCCAACTCATTTGTATTTGAATTTTGAAACTTAAGCCATATATACATAATACTTTTGATACTGAGCTTCCAGGGTCCTTAACTGAAAAAAATGTCAATTCATGAATCATTTTGACATCGAAGACAGATCTGCATGTGAAAAAAAAAATCTAAGAAAATAAGAAATAAAAATATAAACAAGGAATTTAACATTTTCTGTCATTTCTCCCCACTTACAAGATACATTTACAGGATTTAATTCAAGACACTATGAATTCTTTTTCTCACACTGTGTTCGGGTTGACATTTAAAGGTACCTCAATTGCACAAGACAGGAAACTAACTAATAGTATGGTTGCTATTAGCATTAATAACACCACTTCCATTGCCTCATATAGTTTCCACTGTTACTTATGGCACGCCAAAGCTATTAATTCTACCTCATGAAAATTTGCCTCTTTTAATGATGTTATTGAAACTGTTTAATGAGTCACCATTTTTTGAACGTTTCCTTCTGAAGAATAATTTAAAGAGAATTTTAATTAAATAACACAGAAAGATCTGAGTTACTTCAGCTCACAACCACCCAGAATGATCTTAAATGACTGACTTCAAAAATGGGTACAATAGGTTTATCTGCAAACCATGTCTCTCATATACATGTTCAGTGACTTGTCAAATGTCGATGGTTGGCATTCTATGATTTATTTAGGTAATCCACCCAAATGACATTTAACTTGGTCAAAACTGTTGCGCGGTGGGCTTCCTGTTATCTTAAAATGAATATTGGATGGGCTATGGTTGAGGTTTATGTTTTTAGACACTTTACGTAAGCTGAATGTAAGTTAGGGATAGAATCTGAAGTCTTCTAGGTTCAGCCTTTCAGCAGTGGAGGAAAAACAGGTATCCTTGCAAGGCAATTCTTCCCAGCCTACCATGGATCAGATGACCTCTGGAACTGCCTCTCTCCACTGATCATGGAGTGAGGTTAAGCGACTCACTTGGGCTAACTTAACAGATGGCTAAAATGAGACAACATGAATTTCATTTGACCCATTTTGTTTTAATTGAGAGCCTTACAATTGTTCACTCAGGGTCTAGCACCAGTGCCCCTAGTGTGACTTTGCTTTCGGCACACAAACTTTGATTGGTCCCACGTAACTTCTAATGCTTATCTGATGTGCCTGACTGCAGCCAACCCAGGTTTCCTTTGTGGAAAGATGAGACCTTAAGTGGAATGCATCACCATCTGGACACAGACAAGGACAACTATGCTGATGCTTTTCAGTCAAGTGCTGCAAGTTAGGTAGGATGAACTTCAGCTCCAATGAAAAGAAACTCTTCTTAGAAGAAATTTTTTTTGCTAGTCAACTGAAGCGCAATTATAACTGCAGAATTTCCTCACTTAAGCCCATCAGCCACACAAAAGCTAAATGTGTTAGGGCTTGACATTTGAAAGAACTGGGAAAACGCAGGTGGTTTGAAATTGCTGTCTGTATTATACTGCTTCTCCAGCTACCATCCAAGTTGTCTGCCTTTTGTGACTAGAAGTGCCTTATTGAATGCAGTTAACATGTATAGCCATTTTGTGAGTATAATTTTTTTTATGTCCAGATTTTAAGAGCAGAGATTAAAATACTTTTTTTCCCATAGTTATCATGGATTCTGTTGCTGCTGATTTATGCTCTGTTTCTGTCACTAATTAGATTGCTGAGCTGCGTGGTCTTGAATGTATTAAAGATCTGCCTCTCCTCAGAGTTTTAAATCTTTTAAAAAATCCCGTACAGGTAAGAAAGAACTAAAGAGGAAGCCAAAAATAAGAGCCTAGAACTGCTGTTTTGGATCACATCAGAATCCATTTAGCCTCAGTTTCTATCTCTGAGAGTGGCCAGATCATTTCAGGGAATGAGTACAAGAAGTGATGAGTGGTGGTTTCCCTGGTGTGGTTACCCACCTTTTCCTGGGAACTTTGTCTGAACAAAAGCTGCATATGAATCATGATCTTTAACATCCATGTAGTCAAACCATGAATTTTATTAATGCCATTTGTGAATCCATTTATGTGTTTGTACTCACAGTATGCTATAATTTTTGTTTGGGAAAAGATCCCCTTTTTGTTTGCTTTGAAGGTCTGTACTTGATTGTTCCTGGGAAAAGCTCAAAGGAACTTGATAGTACCCCTTGTAAAATCATGTGTCTCTGGAATCTGTATCTTCTTTTCTTTTGGATTTACTCAGTTCTCATTTATGGCTCCCATAATATTCCTCAATTAATGAATTAAACATCCATTTTATCAACAACAATGACATTTGCAAAATACCAGAAATTCTGACTTTGACTCTGCTTTTTCAATTTGTCCTGAGTGATCAAAGATTATTCTATCCTGATTTTTGTGATTTCTAAATTATGTTTGGATTTTACAGTGATTTTCAATGTCAGAGAGAAGAAAAATGTTAAGGGTTTGACTTCTCACTCTCTACAACCACCTGAAAGGAGGGTGTAGTGAGGTGGGGGTTGGTCTCTTCTCCCATGTAGTTAGTGATAGGATGAGAGGAAATGGGCTCAAGCTGCACCAGGGGAGGTTTAGGTTGGAAATTAGTAAAAATTTCTTCATGGAAAGGTTAGTCAAGCATTGGAACAGGCTGCCCAGAGAGGTGGTGGAGTCCCCAGCCCTGGAAGTGTTCAAAAAACGGGCAGATGTGGCACTTGGGGACATGGTTTAGTCTAGTCTACCCTTGATTGGTTTAGTGTGGACTTGGTAGTGTAGGTTAATGGTTGGACTGGATGATCTTAAAGGTCTTTTCCAACCTAAACGATTCTATGATTCTATGATTCTATGATTCTGCTTTCTGTAATTGCCAGTTTTGTATTGGCTTCTGTGAGAAAGGTCTGTCATGGCACACCATGAAATTAGCATGAAAAAATACCTGAAACAGGCTGCCCCTGGTCCTCCATAATCTGAACGCCTTTTTCTGTTTAGATGTCCTTCCCCTAAGCAAAGTCTGATCCTATTCCTTTCAATTATTGTTTTAATAACTTATACATGCAACAGTCATCTTAAGACAGCTGTCTGAATTTCAGTTGTTTTAAAAGGACCTTACTGGTTTTAGAACTAAGAAGCTTCATGAACTTGTCAGTGTCAACTTTTTAATTTGATTTTTAATTATTCTTTTTTATTGTCTCAGACTTGAAAGCATATATGAAGATGAATTTATAATGCAAATTTTCTTTTAAAGGTCCCACAGTACTACTAAGGTTAGAAGTATTATCCATAGTTTAGTACATAATCCCAGTATAGATAATGCATGCGGTTCTCCAGCAGTCTTCCTTGGTGTTCTAGTGGGTATGGTGGTGATTTTTAAATTCCCATCTTGACCTTTTGAACAATGTATTGCAGACTTTTGAACAACTATTAGCTTTTGTTGCAGAAGCTAAGTTTGTGGTGAGGGGTCAATTTGTACAGTGTATTAACATCCTTCAGGGTAAAAAACTTTTTATGTTGCAATGTATTAAGGCCAATTTAATTTCAACTGATTGAAATTAAATAATAGATTGATGAAGTTAAGTACTTTATGTCAAAGTGGAAAATTTGTCCTTCAGGAGCAAACAGATTATTGGCTCTTGGTGATTTTCACGTTGCTCCAACTAACAGAACTGGATGTCAAGAAGATTTCAGTGGAAGAAAAGGTATGTAAACATCATGTCATTCTGGAATTTTTCTAAATTAAGAATATAAAAAACTGTGCATGGAAATGTAGCTTTGTAGTCATTTGGGTGTGACAAATCTCCCATGTTTCAGCCCCCAAGATAGGCTACAAATTCAGAGACTTTTGCTTTTAAATCCAGATATATATCTACAGGATTTCAGGAGCAGTTGTGGTATGTAAAAATGCAAAGCTTACCTAAAAGCTTTGTTCAGTGAAGAAATTTACTTAGCAGCCATTGTTCCTCAGCTAGTGAATCTAAACAGGCAACTACATTCATTAAATAGTCTAAAGTGGTAACCGCTGTGCTACTTCTAAAATACCATTGTTGGGTTTTTTCAGTGTCGTGTACAGCAAAGTGAACTCTAAAGGTTATAATGATGCTTGCTTCCCATTCTACTCCATACAGCTTTCACTGTAAAACCTTCTCCCCCAAAAAACCTGCTCAGACTGCTTACAGTAACTTTCTATTGTAATAGAAACCTTTCCCTCTTGTGCCGCTTTTACTGTAATTGGTTGCTGCATGTAGTATTTGGGCCCAAGCCATGCTAGAACTGTTAGGATTAACAGCTGCCATTGGGGTTGGATTTCAGGGAATTATCCTTTAAAAACGATCCTTACAAGAAATTCATCACTCCTAACTTCAGCTGCATAAATATTAGGGTTCTTGTTTGATGCCAGGCTCTCTCTATCAGGAATGCAGAGAAGGGATGATACCAGAGTGTAATTTACCCCACCTACCCGAGATGTTGATCTTACTCTTTGTCTTATGTGGCAATCTGTTTTCCTTCCAATAAAATTTTCAATATATTATAGAAATTTTTCCTTCTCTATGGACTGTAAAAGTAAGCCTGGATGACTGGTTTAGACTAGCACTTAACTTTTGGATGATTAAAGTTATTTCAGAAAATCCTCTCCTCAGGTTACTTTAGGACATCTACTCTAGCCTCATAAACTCTCTTGCCAATCCCACTTTGGAGGCAGCAGCTTTTCTGTCTCACTAACACACAAAATGGATATACAGAAATGTTGTAGTTTAGATCAGAAGTGTAGTTTTGAAGAGAAACTCCCAGTTGCCCAACTTGCCATGCTGGATTCTAATTGCGGAATAGTCTTGCGATATATGCACTAGACTTCTTTTGGACTAACCTTAACCAGACGATGTGCACCAGCACGCACCTAATGTGCTCCTAGCCACTAACTCAGACCAAAGGACAAACTAGAGCTAGAGTGAAATAAGCTCCCTTCCCCGCCTCCCCCCAAAATAGCGTGGACATTGGGTCCTGGACACCGAATGTTTTGCATTAAAGATCCACGCCTATTGCACCATACTACTTGCTAATATAGGCATGGCTGTCATCGGAGCCTATGGCAGTATTTTGCAGCAGTGTTGGCTAGTTGATATTTGATGGTTTACATGAAATGACTCAGTAGTTCTTAACCTGTTTCTGAGTGGGTAGCATTAATAATACCAAAAAAATATACAACTCATTAGCAGTCAGTACCCTTAATAGAGCTTTCAACAGAATGGATGGAGGGAATCCTTGGAGTTCAAGTGCTCTTCCTCCCAGGAAAGACAGAAATGCTTTGTCAGGAGAAAATTGCAATTTGCTTACTTTCTTATGCCCGTTCTGTTCCTCTTCTGACGAATAAATGAATGGCTTCAGTCCCTAAGGATTTTAGTTCGGCATCTTCTACCAGCACTGAGAGGATGCAAATTAATGGATAATTAAAAACCTAGGCAAAATGACTTTGCATCTTATGTGGCATCCTGTTTTCTTTCCAGTAAAAGGTTGAATATATTAAAGATAGTGAGCTATGTCTGGCTGACTTCCATCCATTTATCAAATTGTGCTTAAATCCCCTGAAAAGATTTATGTAGTGGAGTGCTCACAGACAACCCAAATACAAAGACTGACCCTCATAAATATGAAGCCATCATTATTCATAGTGATCTGTGAAGAGTATTGCAGCTGGAAACAATTACATCACTGCTTTTCTTTCTTCTGCCCCTAAACTGTGGAAACAGGTTGCTGCTGTGAATAAATATGATCCTCCTCCAGAAGTTGTTGCTGCTAAAGATCATATGGCTCATGTTATGTATAGCATGCTGCAGCCCCAGAGAATCTTTGACAGGTAAGCTTACCTCCACTTCACATCAGCTCCTGAGGGTGGCACTCAAGTAAAGCAGAATATGTTGTCATATTTAGAGGGACAGTTTTCTGTCCCACTCCCACCTCTACATTAATCTGATGAAGAAGAGGCATTCCATAGTATTCTGGTAGCAGTCTGGAAATTAGGCAAATCTTATTTGGTTGAAATGGATTATGAAATTAAGTTAGTCATTCACCTCTAAAGTCTAAGACAGATTGTCCACAGCTCCATTTCTTTTAAACAGTCTGTTGAAACAGATGGCCATTTGCGCCATAAATGAAAAATAAAAAATTTCTATCAATACCCAAAGGCAATTTAAAATTCTCTAGAGGGAGAAGAGAGCTGTAAGACATCTCTTCTTCCTATTCTGCTTACTCCTTCTCTTCACACTGTTGGCATCCCATTGTGAGGAAAATGGCTTTATTTTGTGGCTTTGGGGCACATTTTATATTCGTAAGGTGAATTTTTCAAGTTTGTACTTAGGGATGTCCAGCTACTTCTGCCCTTGGGAGGAGATGATGCTGACTGCCACTTAAAGCACAGAAGGGAGAGGCAAATCAATATTCTTTTTCCAACGTTGCCATTGCCATGCCAGGTGACTTCTCTCAGTCTCGTTTCTCACCTAGAAAATGGAAATAGCCATACTTTGCTGCTCTGCAGATGTGTTATGATATTTGCGTGATAAATGCTTGGAAAATGCTTTGACGTACTCTGATGGAAGATACTATGAAATACATGTGGTTTGTTATTATATTGGCTATAGTGGGCACAGTGATCAACTTTTGTGCCCCACACCCTGTTTTAGCACCATTTTGGACATCTTAATTCGTAATGAGTAACCTGATTTAAGACCCATGACTTAGTAACTCAGAAATTTATATTTTTAGAATATCTTTATTGCGAGTCTTGTGCTTTCTGGGATTGTTGATGAAAGACAGGAACCATCCCAGTGGTGATGATAGCTCTGAGAATTCTTAACAGCCTATTAAAAAAAAACCCCCGAAGATTTATTTACTGTTTTGCAGGGTTTGAGATTTCTTAAAAAGAAAGCACAATGATTTTACCTGAAGGCATGGATTTCTTCCAGTGCAGACATAGGGTCTATTTAAATATTTGTTGATCAGATTGTGTATGTGTATCTTCATTGCTGGAAAGAAACGATTCTGTCTTCTGTCAGAGGTATTGTATACACAAACATATAAACATGCAGACCAGCATTTATGGTACTGACCAAAATTGTTAATGATGCTTTGAATGTTTGCCCATGCTCAGCTGGAAAGCACACAACACAGTCATTAATGAAATCTTCCTAATGATGATGCATTGCAGTCTTCTACACTATAAAATACCAGATTGGTGTAGTTCATTTGCATCTATATTTTTAGGAGAGATTAGAACTAATTCTATTTTAGGAATATCTCTAATAAAAATAAAATCTGAAAACAAAGCAAAAAGTTATGTTGTTGCATACTCTGCAGTCAGAAGACATTAGCATTAAGTTTCTTATGCCATTCCCTCTCTCTGTGTGCCTTGTGATTCTATCTTTAATTACATGGTAACACACCACTGAACAATATTATGTGTATTTTTACCCCACTATAAATGCATGTGACATTTAAAAAGGTAGCTTGATCATAGTTATAACTGCTACGTGGAGAGCAGACATTTAATAACAGAGGGCTCTTCAGTCTATTGGGCAAGTACATGATGAGACTTGGTATCTGGCTATTGAGGATAAATTCATTCAGAGAAGAAATAGAGCATGATTATTTTTAACAATGAAGGTAATTAACCATTGGAACAATTTACCAAGGGTACCAAGGATTCTCCACAACTAGAACGTTTTTAATTAAAATATGCTCTAACGGAACCTCAGGTATCAGGCTTGAAACAAGAACTAACTCGGGAAAATCCTGTTGCTAGGGTGATGAGGGGAGTCGGAGTAGATGATCACAGTAGTCCCTTCTGGCCTTGAAATCTATTAATCTTGCACAGCAGTGTATTAGTGTACTCACCAAAGACAAAGAAAGTTGAAGGATGAATGTTAAATGAGCCAAGAACTCTTCACAAGGTACTGCTTGCAAGTTGTAGGAAAACCAAAACTTTTAGTTTTTTTGAGAACCAGTAAGTGGTGATGTAATGAAAGATAGTATTATGGAAATGTTCTCATGTTCACTGATGAAATAATAAATCCAAGGAATTGAGCAGATGAGGAATTTGAGCAGTGGAAATTTATTTAAGGGAATTTGAATTCCCAGTTTAATCGTGTCAACTAATGATATATTGTATCATTAGTGGCTATAACACTTCCTTGTAAAAGAAAAGATTACTGAGGAATTCTGCAGTTTGCAAGCATGTAACAGGTTCTGTGCATGGAGAAGGAATTTATTAAAACTATGTTGAAGATAAGGGTTCTGTCTTTGCAGACTTGCCTCGACATCATTATTCACGAAGGGCATGGCCTTGAGCAAGAATAAGAACCTTTCTGCCACATCTGGATAAATTTTCCATCTCTAGTCCCTAAGCATGTTTCATGGAATCCCCATCTTTGAAATGGTTCATTTATAATAACACACTTATAATATCCACAACTGTCACTAATACCTCCTGGGATCATGTTGTCTTAAACTGGTCTTTTCCTTACCACAAATGTCAGAAAAGGGAAAGACAGTCTGAACAGTTCAAAGAATCAAGAGACGAGGAAGATATTTCTTGAATTGAACAGAATGTCGCAACCTAACAGATTCAGATACGGATTTTTAAAATTTATTTTTACCTTCTCCAGTATTTTTAATGTATTGTGCTAATCAGCTTATTGTGCTAATGTTGTCTAATGTTTCGTAAATGTCACCATTTGGCACAGTAAGTAAAAAATCCTTAAATCTCCCAAGGGTTCTGCTACTGCCTTGCTTTAAAATAGTCTAGTGGATAGAACACTGAACCAGGATCTGGGTTCATTTCACAGTTTAGTAACAACACATATGTACAGACTCGAGCCAGTCTCTTAATTTATTAGGTGTATCTGTTACTTCTTAGTACTCCATAGGAGAATTAGGAGACTGAATTGCATGATTATCTTAGTGCTTCTGAAGCATCAAGTCCCATTATATACATATAATCTGGTAGAAAATAGAGCCAGTTTGCTGAACCTAAAATAGGAGTAAAGCCATTACTTTGAAATCTTTTTCCTCCATGCTTGTGGTGGATGGTTATAATTACTTCTTATAGACTTAGTTACTTGTAAGAGAAAAGGTAAGAGAAATACACTCTGTCTTCAGGAATTTGTGTTCACCTGTTTTAAATCACATTAAATGGAAGCTTAACACACATCAGTGGTTTTCTTCTGCTTCAAAATTTAAGTTTAGTTAAAGTTATTTGTTAGTTAAAAATAAGTGGGTTTGAAATTATTTCAACTCTTTCTGACATATTCTCAAGTGGCATAATCTTAAGATCTTGCTGAGATTTAAAAATGAGAGTCCAAAGTTGCATTCTATTTTTAGCTGTCTAAATAAATTGCTGGACACTTGAAAGTGCAGAAATGCTATTCATTCTAGTATTTACAGCTGGAAGTGGAAATCTGAGGATCTAACCATCTGCTCAGCATGGAGACAATGGAGGGCTTTGTATTTTTGCAGTACCTTGGGTTCTTTTATTGTAGTGTTATTTGTGTTCAGTGGAGTTTAAGGAGCTTGGTGTTTTTCATTGTACTGAATTGAAGAGTTCTTTACAAATTTCCACCTTCATCTGGCAAGGCCATGGAAGTCAGTAAGATTACATGCAGGAGTGCATAAAGGTTTGTAGGGTTGAGTCCAGGTTCATGCTAAGCTTATTATCCTGATCATTAAAATATTACCATCTCTGAGATAGACTTGGAAGACTCTTAAACAAATCCCAGCAACACCATAACTGCAGAGGGAGCTTTAGAAAATGCTATAAATTGGAAAAAGATTATAGTAGACATGACATTATTCCTTCTGCAAAAGAGACCCAGGAGTCTTTAATGCAGTATTTTGTGCTATTTTTATGTTTAGAGCATATCAAACTGAGCACACGCTTCTCCTGATTTTTGTCTACACTGTGAACAATGTGAATAGTATGATAGACAGATGAGATTAGTTGAAGTACTGATAAAGCTCTGCAGAAGCTTTATACAAAGTGGCTGAAGACTTCATTTGTAGGTAAAGGAATGGCTCCTTGTTTTCCTTTCTTGTAGCACTTTACCTAGTCTTGATGCTTCCTACCCCATGCTGGTATTAGTTGGCCCTCTAGCCTGTGGTAAGAGAGAGCTTACTCATAAGATCTGCAGACAGTTCAACAATTTCTTCAGATACGGGTAAGTTTGCTCCATAAGTTTAAAAGAATACCAAGTGATCAAGGATAGAGTTGCTGCTGGTTTGGTTTTCTTTCTTTTTTTTTTTTTTTTAAAGAAGTTAAAAGTAAAAGGCAACCAATAAATGTTCATTGCTATGCGTTTTATCTCTTCCCAGGGCTTGATTGCCTGAAGTCATTCAAATACTTCCTTAAAAGAAAAGCTATTTAAATGATCATGTTCTTTTCAAAGGTGAACAGCAAACAAACAAACAAAAATGTGTCATTTAGTGCTCCTTTTATTGATCTGTTCTATCTATGCTCACTAATGCCCCTCAACCTAAGCATCTGTTTAGATATGTATGCATTTCTCTTAATTTTTGTAATGTACCTGCATATAAACAGATTAGCATGCGTATGCAGGCTGCATCCAGAAGCTAGGAAAGGAAGCAAGTGCAATTGCTGGACCAGTTTATTATCCTGTGAGTAGTGTTATCAAAGCAAATGGCACCTTTCAGACTTCACCACCTGCTGGGAGGACTAATTCTCCCTATCTGAAAGGCCTGAATTATGATCCTTACCGCCTTGGGCTCCCTGTGTATTGAGTGGAGAGAAACTGTCTCTTTCCAAGGGAGATTCAGCCTTTGTGAATCACTTCCCTGAGGTATCGACGTATTTTCAGTGCACAGGAGGTAGGAAGTCTGGCTAAGTTAGATCACCACTATCTGTTGCCTAAAACTAGGTGGTGCAAGCTGCTCCTCTTGTCCACTCATTCCATTCTTCACACTACCTAACTTTCACAGGTCCTGTAGCACATGTTATTCAGTGCTGGTCTGTGTTCCTGTTATATTGCCTCTCCTCTATTTTCTCAATTTTTTTATTACATGAATTTATCCATTCATTTTTAACCAGACTTTGGCCATAGTTTTGCATGTATAGTGTTTGCCACAATGGGACCTGGGTCTATATTTGTGCACGCTTAGGTACTGAAGTGGTGAGTTGTAAGAAAGGGACCATGGGCACATGCATATGTGAGAATGATCCCTCAGAGTTCTTAGCATCACAGGAGCATGCTCTGCATGTTGATGTGACGTCTAATAGTAGCCTTCTCTAACATAATACACCACAGTGAAGGAGCCTTTATGTATTTCTGCCTGCTCTGTACTCAGATTATAGCCACTTGCTGGATTAGATCATTAAACTGGCAAGTTGAAAGGACATTTTAAGAAAAGATCTGTGAAGGTTATGTGACTGGAAAGATGGCTTTTTGCCTTTCTTTGAAGCAACCACTATGTTTTGAAAGACTAGATTGGAAATTACAAACTAATTGAATACCAACTGAAATTTTCCAAGCACTATGTGTTTAAGAGCATTGTTTTTATACTGTGTATTTTATTTCCTAAAAGTTTCATGCATGAGGTGGAAAAAAAAGGAGAGAGACAGAATCTTAACAGAGCAGAAAATTGCAACCATAAAGCAAAGTTATATTTTAATTATTCAGTGGAGATTTAAGCAATTTTATGGCTTAGACTTTTAAATTTCAAACATTCCACTCATTAAAAATGTATTTCATGCAAGATACCCTGGCAGTTTGAATGTAAACATGGCCTTGCAATTAAAAAGGGTTGTAATGTTTAAAAGTATTTCAAAAAATAAAGTGAAATTGGACCCTCTAACGATCTGGCTAGTGCTCAGGAATGACCTTTAAAGCTGGATGCGTTCATAATGTCTTAAAGAAAATCAGACCTTTGAAGTGAAATTTTACAGAGTCTATGTGTAGCGCACTGTTCTCATTTGCCACAGCTTGCTGATAAAAAAAGCGGTAGCCTCTAATGCCATGATAGTTAAGATCTGTCAAACTCTGCATTATAGACTAAACTTCTTAATGGTTTATAACTCAGCTACCTTGAATAAATGAACAGAAATGGCCTGGTAGGTGGTATACTAATAGGTGGTGTATATTTTGCCATATTTTCCAGGACAATCCAGCAGAAGTCAAAGAGTTAAAATGTTATCGGCGTGAATCAATGCCAAAGCTCCACATCATACTTTTGTTCTTGTTACCCTAAAAATTGAAAACAAAACTAAAGCAGAAACAAGTAGCAAAATACAATTTCCTAAGATAGAACATGAGCCACTGCATACTTTTAGATTAAAGTGCTACATGCATTCACTTAGCTGGGTTTTTCTGATTTTGTTTGAGGTTCTTGTTTTAGTGTTTTATCCTGGTAGTAAGATCACGTATCTGAGGTTTATCCTATTGTCCTTATGTGGTGGCAGGCAATTACTTCTCCTGCTTTGTATCCCACTTATCTCCCTAGTTTCAGGATTGTTTCTCCCCTTACTATTAGGGGTCTATTTAAAGGTTGGTCTTTATATCTCTTTCTTAACCTCACAGTTCAGCCTAACTCCTAGTCTCCTTTTCCATATTTAGGATTCTACTTTATATCATCCACAAGCTGACATAACTGGAAAAAAAATTGTTTCATCATTTCTCTATTACAGGGTGCTGTGACAGCTTCAGTTCAGGCTATCCTGGGTTGGGGGGGATTTATAGCCAAAATGTAATGTTACATTTAAACTTTTTTTTTGTATTTATGGGTTAATCTTTCAAATATGCAGCATTAGTGCTATGATTTGCACCTCTTTATATTTCTCATATTTCTTCTCTTCTTAAAAATAAAATGATTTGTAGTATTCTCCCTTCCCGCCCCCCCCCCACTCCCACCTGCTTCTCCACTTTTAC